AACGACCTACCCCTCGCATGAGCGAAGTTACCAAGGTGATGTCCAAGTTCATGGCCCTTAGTATTATTAGTCCTTAGCCAACTTAGTAAAGTAAGTCAAGTTGTATCCCCATTAGTTTTATTGGTTAATTATCCAGGTGTAGTATCCTACATGCGCGAGAATGAGTTCCCTTCTCATGCTCGACTTCTACCATTGCTAAGCAACTAAGCAATAAGTAGTTAAGCCTTTCCATTCTCATTGTTTAGATGAGAGGCTTCTAATGGATTAATGAGTAGTTCTAACATAGTGAAACAGTATTAAGTTGATTAACCAAACTACATGAGGTGCATGACTCATAATGAAACTTGATAAGTATCTAAAGTAGGGTTTATAGTAGTGGGGTGCCTGCCTGATTCGTTGCCGTCCTAACTCTCGTAGCTGACGATGACGACTTGTACAATTACACGATCCTTACTTGAGACGTTCCTGAAATAATAAGAGAGACACAACTGAGGAGATACATCGATGATCGAGATAACGAGAAAGGATATGGGTGTATAGGTTAATACTGGGAGCTTGGGAAGAGATATCTAACTGTGGCTCTATTATTGCACTATTGGGTAAAGGGTATAAACTAGTGCGGGTGGTCTCTTGGGTAAACTTGCTAAACAAGCTCGCACTCTCAATGTACTATCGGACACTCCGTCCTACCGACGGACACTACGCTGTGTTGGGTACCGAGGTAGGTTGACTCTAGGCTGGTCCTGCTCAGGTTGGCGGATGCTCCATGGAGATCACGAACACTCTGGTAGGAACTAGGAGGTCTTGGGTTGCTAGGTGGCTGTCTTCTACAATTCATCGGGTGCTCCGCCATGAGTGACGAACACTCCGGTGTGAACTAGTTACTCTCAGATTCACTGGATATAAGGCTTTATAATTCAACGGACAGTACGCGGGATATTCGTGGACACTCCAATGGTCCAGGCTGACTAAATGTAAGGCTTCTTAAGCGGCTCCTCATGGGTTTGACGGACAATTTGTCGAATTGACGAACAGTCCGTCACTCGGGTGACAGAACCTATGCTCATGGGAAATCCTAGGTTCAAGCTTAGATTTGTGGAGTTGTGCATCTTGCATGTGCCAAACATTCCTAAGGTAGCTCAGGTGGCTTACTAGGCTCAAGATATCTAGGGTTTGAGCTAGTCATACTAAGTGTGGCTTAGGCTTTAGGATTCAAACCAAAACTCATGAGAAAGAGATAAACCTTAAGATTGAGCTAGAGATCCTTGGCTCTGAGATTGAGAGCTTCCATAGCCAAAGATTTGAAGATCCAACTCTTCCTCCATTCAAGCTCCTTTTCCCAACATGTAAGCCTTCCATCCATCACCTCCTCCTTGCAATAATCCAAACAAATACCATAGATGGATCCATGGGATGGCAAGATGGTGGAGGTGGTTGAGGGTCACTTGGACTTACTCAACTCATAATTGAACCACCTCTAGCAAGGGGTCTCCAAGCTTCCACCAAAATCCACAAATTAGACCCCCTCAGAAAATCCATAAATCAAGAACCAATCTCTCGAGCTCACCATGATTAGGTTGAAGATGTTGATGAGATCCACAGGGGGTGCTGATGCTTCTCCTCTTCTCCTTCCTCTCCTCCTCCATTCCCTTCTTCACTCCTTTCTCTCTCTAGTTCTATTTCATAAGAGTTAGAGAGAGAGGGAGAGGGTTGCAAATGAATGGATGAGGGAGAGAGTGGGTGAAAGGGTGTGTTTTCTGCTGAAGGCTTGTGCCAACTCGTGCTGACATGTGGGTCCACTTCCACAATTGGAAAACAGCCCAATTCCACTTAATCCTGTTCTAGTTCAACTCCTGTCAGATGATCCGGTAACCTGGCGGACGGTCTGGTGGTCTTTGTCTTTGCTGAATTGATTGAGTCACCGGTTGGTTGGTTATTGGTGACCAATACATTGCTCTTGAGTAGTTCCTCAGGACTGAGTGAGTGTCGATGATGTCAATAGAATGAACTCTAATCTAACTAGAGGTTCTCTTCCTCCATGTCGGGTGGGTTAGCGGATTCTCGGTGCTTCACCTTACGTACATAACGTGGGTTTCTACCAAAACTTTCAGTAGTCGACTTCTCTTGATATCCAAAAATGACTGCCTAGGTTGTAACGGAATTCGGGTCGTTACACTGGCGTCGCGGGATCATTCGCTCCATAAGAAACAGGTGAACGGCCGCTGAAATGGATTTTGCGTAAAAACACCAAGCCACACCATTGCTTCTACATAAAAGGATGAATGAAGTCAATCTTCAGGACTCGGGTGTATCTTTGTTGTCATGTTTAGACCAGTTTCAGTAGAGGTTTTATAAAAATTTTATAGGCATTAAATAATTTGATATGACATAGTATAAATGAAGAGAGACAATAAAAAATTTATGGAATGAAATTAGTCTCATACGAATAAAATTTGTTTACACTATTTTCAATACATTGGAGTCTTTAAAACTAAGATGTGAAACCTCCGCTAAAGGTGGCATTATGATACACAATTCAAACGAAGTGCATGGACCAATCAATGAATCAAGTGGGCTATGGAATCACGTGTACGGTGCCTTTTTCGATCGGACCAGACAATTAACAAATGGCCCGGTTGCTATTTTTTGACTACTAATAATAATGCATTTTCTGAAAATCATACTTATATATAATATCGATTCAATAATCTGGAATGGTTGTTCGAATCCCGTGTGCAATACCGTACACGCATTCGCCTCGCAAGTTAGGAGTGGATCACGATCCATTCCCAGGCGTACTCGCAACCAGTGGCGGATTTGATAAGCGCTGGCTAGGAAAGCTAACGCACTACGCCTAATTGCAGTACTTTTTTTTTTGCGAGGTGCTACTTGCAGTACTTTTTATGACCAGCCACGTACTATTCTGATCTATGTGCGTGATCCATGGTTTGGTGGCGGCCTAACCTGCCTAATCGAATATTTCGGGCTTGTTTCTTTCAAGTTTCAACAAGTCTATTCCCATTCGAGTCAAGCTTAGCTCGCCTTTTGGTCCGGCGTGTGCAATCTGCAATGGATCCGCGTAAGCACACATATATAAGATAGACGCGGCATAGATTAGTTATTCAGGGGATATCAGCAGTGTTCAAAATAAGGGTGTCATAAGCTTGCTAAGACCGACCAGATAGTGATACATTACCTGCAGCCTCATTGGTTTCTTGCATCTAGCTGAGGCAAGTTCGTCAAGTGCATGCGACATCTGCATAAATTGGTTACCTGAATATTAGTTTGAGACTATCTCAGCAGATGCAAAAGAAGGGCATCACTCGTCCTTCACGGACAAATACTACTACCTAGTCACTTGAATTCCCTGGCATTAATGGAATCTACTACAATCACATACTGTGTATGCACCTACGAACGATGTGATTATCTGATCGGCAGCACCAGCGCCTGCACGTCCAGACGCCTGCGTCCATCCAGACATCTACGGCTGCTCCGCCCCGTCCACTAGGATTCGCGTGCCTCCCACGCCGCGCTCGCATCCGAACCGTCCGCTTCAGATCCACTGGCTACACTGCTCGGATGACTTGCCCCCGCCTCTTCCACACCGGAATGACGCCCGTCTCTTCCAGGCTACCCGAAAGACTCGTCCCGCCTCTTCCACCACAGCACCGCGTAGCCGTGCCTCCTTCCCACACCGCCGGTGGTGGCCTGCGCCTCCTCCACGTGTCGGTGGCCACGGCTTGGCCCTGCACGTCCTCATGGACACCAACGCCGGCGGTCTGTACTTGCAAAATAAAACACTTGAATGCAACATACATTTGAAATATTTGGGACATACGTTTGTAACATGTGTGTAAAACATATACAATATCCAGATAAAACAATTACAACATGAAAAAACACTTACTGCAACATAAGACTAAAACAGCTGAAACATTTGGAACATATTATTGCAACAGATATGTGAAAACATATGCAACATACAGATAAAAAACGATTGCAACATACGTCTAGAAACAGATGAAATATTTTGAACAAACGCTTGCAACATGCTTCTGAAATACTTATAACATATGCAATATGTGCAACATCCCCTGATCTACTTTTGCAACATCCATAAGAAACAACTGCAACATACCTTTGAAACAACTAAAACACCTGAAACACACATTTGCAACATAGGGGAGGGGAAGCGTGGATCGGTCGATTCCAGCCGTCGGGGTCAGAGCCAGCGGCGAGCGGAGGCGCACGAGCACCAGCGCCACCAGTGCGGGCTTGGCTCGACGACGACGGTGGTGGATGGGGGCCGAGGAGCGCCATGGCCGCTGGGTGTGGGGGGAGCTTGGTCGTCGGGGTGAGAAAGGGCACCACTGGGGGTGGGGAGGGCGCCGCACCGGGGTGGAGGAGAGCCACCCACTCCCTTGCAACACAGCCGTGCCACCTCCATGATCTCGCCGGAGGCGTGGATCTCGCTCCTGCTCCATGGATCTCGCTGGGGTGGGAGAGAGGGCCACCGGATCTGCGGGCGTTGGGGGCTCCCGGTGGAAGAGGACGCCGGACGTTGGTGTGTTGCGACAGGGGATGAGAAGGGTGGAAGGGGTAAGGGTAGAAGCGGAGCGAGATGTGCTTGAGTTGATTTTGTTTTTTAAATGGCTCTGGCACTTAAGAGTGAATGGGTTGTTCCTTCTCTCAGAAGACGAGCTACACATGCGACAGTGAGTGGAGCGAGGCATCCGATGTTTCGAACACCTTAGTGGTAGCATTGGGAAGACCAATACTGACATCGCGACGTGTCAAACGGTACGCATGCGTCCATATAGTACAACCCAAGAATGTACGACTGGACGACCAAGAGCTAGGCCTCCATGACCATTCGTCTGTCCGTCGAGATTATTATATATAGAGTTAAGTTAGGGACAAAGAATACTTCCAAATCAATGGCTCTTCACCTAGCTTACATGCTATCATTTGTTTCCATGCCAGCAAAACAGTGTAGAATGCAGCGAAAATCCCCCCGTCTAGCCATCCTGATTTCTCTGGTCTCTCTTCTGCTGTGCTCGTCGGCGTCGGCACAGCACACGCTGGGCGCCGGCTCCTCCCTGTCCGTGGAAGACCACGCGCGGCCGTTCCTGGTGTCCCCCAACGCCACCTTCTCCTGCGGCTTCCTGGAGGCCGGCAACAACGCCTTCTCCTTCTCCGTCTGGTACACCGACGCAGCGAACAAGACCGCCGTCTGGACGGCGAATCCCGACGCGGCCGTGAACGGCAGGGGATCCAGGATCTCGTTCCGTCGCGACGGGGGCCTAGCCCTCTCCGGCGCCAACGGGACGACGGTGTGGGAGAGCAAGACGAGCGGCTCGGGTCTCTCTATCTCCCTCCTCGACTCCGGAAACCTCGTCATCTCGGACCTGTCGAGCCGCCGCACCCTGTGGCAAAGCTTCGACTGGCCGACGGACACGCTGGTCCCGTCGCAGCAGCTTACCAAGGACACCACGCTGGTGGCCAGGTACTTCTACCTCTACTACGACAACGACAACGTGCTGCGGCTCCGCTACGACAGCCCCAACATGTCGAGCATCTACTGGCCGAACCCGGATTACGGCGTGTTCCCCAACGGCCGGACGCTCTACAACAGCTCGAGGATCGCTGTCCTCGACGACACCGGCGTCTTCCTGTCTAGCGACAACCTGCGAGTCGTCGCCTCCGACCTGGGCCGCCCCGGAGTCAAGAGACGGCTGACCATCGATCCGGACGGCAACCTGAGAATCTACAGCCTGGACTCGTCGACCGGGGGCTGGACGGTGACATGGGCGGCGATGGCGCAGGCGTGCTCCGCGCACGGGCTGTGCGGCCGGAACGCGATCTGCGTGTACCAGCCGAGCCTCAGATGCTTGTGCGTGCCCGGTCACGAGACGGTCGACCGGCACGACTGGCGACAAGGTTGCAGACCCATGTACAGCGTCCCCAACTGCAGCCAAGCGGCGCCGCCGGAGCAGCGGTTCAAGTTTGTCGAGGTGCCGCACACCGACTTCTACGGCTACGACGTGGGGTACAACGCCTCCTCTGATACGTTCGAGCACTGCAAGAAGCTATGCTTGGAGATGTGCTCGTGCGCCGCCTTCTCCTACCGGCCGTTCGAAGGCCGAGGCGTCTGCTACCTGAAAGGCTTCCTCTACAACGGCTACACGTCTCCAAACTTCAACGGCAACATCTACCTCAAAGTACCAATCGGTTTCGATGCCTCGGCTCAGTCAGTCTCTGCACGTAGCTCCGAAGGCCTTACTTGCAATCCTGACGGTCCCGAGATCGTCCAAGGAACTCCAGACACGTTCCGGGCATCCAGAAACAACGCCAAATGGTCGTACCTGTTTGCGTTCGCCGGAGTGCTGGGAGTTCTTGATATTATCTTCATTGGAACAAGCTGGTGGTTTCTCTCCAGCAAGCAGAGCATACCCAGCTCGCTAGAGGCAGGGTACAGGATGGTCACGGGCCAATTCAGGAGGTTCACGTACCGGGAACTCAAGGACGCGACGGGGAACTTCAAGGAAGAGCTCGGCCGGGGCGGCTCCGGCGTCGTGTACCGCGGCGTGCTCGACAAAGGGAAGGTGGTGGCCGTGAAGAAGCTGACGAACGTGGCGGGGGGCGACGAGGAATTCTGGGCGGAAATGACGTTGATCGGACGGATCAACCACATCAACCTCGTCAGGATCTGGGGCTTCTGCTCCCAGGGCAAGCACAAGCTGCTGGTGTACGAGTACGTGGAGAACGAGTCGCTGGACAGGCACCTGTTCGACACGGACAGGACGACGCTACCGTGGCGCGAGCGGTACAGGATCGCGCTGGGCACGGCCAGGGGCCTAGCCTACCTTCACCACGAGTGCCTCGAGTGGGTCGTCCACTGCGACGTGAAGCCGGAGAACATCCTGCTGACGCGCGAGTTCGACGCCAAGATCGCCGACTTCGGGCTGGCCAAGCTCTCCAAGAGGGACAGCGCCGCCGGCGACAGCATGCCTCTCTCTCACATGAGAGGGACGACGGGGTACATGGCGCCGGAGTGGGCGCTCAACGTTCCCATCAACGCCAAGGTGGACGTGTACAGCTACGGGGTTGTGCTGCTAGAGATGGTTATGGGGTGCAGGGTGTGTGACCAGACGACGGCGGGCGGGGAGCGCCTGGAGATGTCGCAGATCGCTCAGGCGTTGAGGCAGGTTGTGGCTACCGGCAACGTCGTGCCCTTGGTGGACGGTAGGTTGCAGGGGCAGTTTAATCCTCGGCAGGCCCTGGAAATGGTGCGGATTTCCTTGTCGTGTATGGAGGATAGGACCAACCGGCCGACAATGGACGACGTTGCCAAGGCTCTCACAGCCTGCGACGACGAGGACGAGCATCCCGCATACAGGTAGAGTCATACCGTTAGGATCAGGAGATAGAAACTTTTTTTTTGTCTCATAGGATAGAATTGGAGGGTTAGTATCCTGTCAAATTTTATACAAATTATAGAATTGGAGGGTTAATATCCTGCGATGACGAGGACGAGCACCCCGCGTACAGGTAGAGTTATACACTCATACTGTTAGGATCAGAAGTGTCAACACTACTACTGTCGGGCAATAAGCATCGCAGAAGAAGCAACATGGGAGGTGGCTACGGAACAAGCCTAAGGACATGCGTCTAGGCCCGTTCGCGAACACAGGCCCAACACATTGGACACTGGCCCAAAGTGTAGTACTTAACGAAGGGAAGAGAGAGTGAGCTTGATGCTTATGAAAATTGTAAACGAATTCCCGAAACAACTTAATTCCTCACAATCTTCTTTTTCCCCAAGTTTGTTGCTAACAATCTTCCCCAAGTTTGTTGCTAACAATCTCATATCAACTTCTCGATCTTCCCACCTTTCTTCGCACTCTATCTCTCACCCTAGACCTGCTGCCGTTGTCGTCCACGACCACTACACCCGCCAGCAACGGAAGCTCGATGCTATGGATCCTAGTTTAAAGTTTCTCCTCGACGAATTCAACCGTCGCTTCGACGATCACGACGCCAAGTGGGAGCAACGCTTCACTGATCTGAATTGTGATCGCAGTGCCCACGATGTCATTGTTGATTGCCGCTTCGCCGAGCTTGCCCAACCCTCTACAGTCATCGACCAGCGCCTCGCTGATTTGGAATTGGTGTGGGTGAACCAAAAAGTAGACGTCACCAGGCGCCTCTCCGACCTCAAAGTTGTTCGCATCCAGCAGATCTCCGACGAGCGTGATGAGTGGGTAGCGGAGCTCGAAGTGGCGGCTGCGGACATCAATGCTTGGATTCCCGAGTTGGAGGGTGTAGTCGATGACCTCAAGCTCGAAGTCCAGAAGATTGCGAACATTGGAACCACATGGTGCTCTACACATTGTCTCAATGTCAGGGGAATTAATTCAGATAAGAAGTGGAACTTGATCCGTGATCGCATTTTGGAAAGTAACTGTGAAATTGCTTGCTTTCAAGAAACAAAGTGCTTGCTTTTTTATTTATCTTTCATTCGTCACTTTTGTCCTCCTTTTGACAGTTTCGAATTTCTTCCTTCCGTGGATGCATCTGGCAATTCTTTCATAATCTGGAAAAGCTCTTCCTTTAATGACAATCTTGTTTTCCAGAATAACTATGCTACTACTATTGTGTTCACTCTCTTTTTAATAATGCGACCCGGCTCCTCACCAAGATCTACGCTCCTTGCACACCTGTGGATAAAAGGAAGTTTATTCGGTGGTTTCGGAATGTTCAAATGCCTGATTTGGTAGACTGGCTTGTCGTTGGTGACTTCAATCTATATAGACATCCTGATGATATAAACAGACCTGGTGCTGACCATGCAGAGATGTTTATGTTTAATGAATCCATTAGCAAGCTTGGTCTAGTTGAGTTGCCTTTGAGAGGAAAGGGGTTCATCTGGACCAACAAGCAGCACCCCCCTATACTTGAGCACTTGGATTGGTTTTCCACTTCGACTACCTGGATTTTGGCCTATCCTAACATTGTCCCTTTCTATGGAGACTTCAGATCACGTGCCTTGTTTGATTAACATTTCAACTAATATTCCTTGGTTTCATATTTAGATTTGAGAATTTTTTGTTAATGCATGAGGACTTCTTAAACCAAGTTCAGCAGGGTTGGTTTTCCCCTTTCCAGCATTCGGACGCAACTAAATTTCTTACTGCTAAATTTAAGAATTTGTGGAAAATTTTGACGGAATGGAAAAAAAGCCAGTCAAGTCTCAAAGAAAACATTACAAATGCCAAGCTGGTCTTAGTTTTCTGAACTTTTTGGAAGAATGCAGGGATTGGTCTCTTATTGAGTGGAATTTCAAAGCATTACTTGGAGATAAATTGATTTTGCTCCTCAAACAACATAAGGCTTATTGGAAACAGAGAGGTATAGTCAAATGGGTCACTCTAGGTGATGCTAGTACAAAGTTTTTTCATGCCCATGCCACAGCAAGGTACAGAAGAAATCTTATTACACAATTATATGGTGAATCTGGTCAAGTTTTTTTATCAGCATTAGAAAAAGGCACATCTGATTTGGTAGGCTTTTAAAGACAGGCTTGGAACAAGTAGCTTCACTGGTGTCTCCTTTGATCTGGCTTCCTTGTTTTCAAATGCAGTAGACTTAACCTTTTTGACTGACACTTTTAGCAGGATGGAGATTGACTCAGTGGTTAAAGTTTTACCCTCGGACAAGTCTCCAAGACTTGATGGGTTTAACACAAATTTTATTAAGAAGTGTTGGTCCATAATATGTGAAGATTTCTATACTCTCTGCTCTGCTTTTTACTTTGGGGACATCTGTTTCCAAAATATTAATGGCTCCTACATGACTCTATTCCCTAAGAAAGATGATGCTTCAAAGGTTGCAGACTATAGACCCATTTCCTTACTTCATTGCTCTATTAAGATCATCACAAAGATTTTGGCTAATAGACTGCAATTTGTCCTACCTTCTTTGATTCATTCATCAGAACCAATATGGTTTCATCAGAAATAGAACCATTGAAGAATGCATTGCTTGGGCTCTACAGTATGTTCATATGTGTCATCAATCTAGGAAAGAGATTATTATTCTCAAGTTTGACTTTGAAAAGGCTTTTGATAGGGTAGAGCATGAGTATATGCTTAAAGTCATGAAAGCCAATGGCTTTCCCCAGAAATGACTCCAATGGATGAGGCTAATCTTTGCTTCAAGAACCTCGGCAGTTCTACTCAATGGGCTTCCTAAGGGGAGTAAGACAGGGGGACCCCCTCTCACCACACCTGTTTGTGCTAGAAGCAGATTTTCTACATACTACTGTTAATTCATCAAAGAGTAATGGCTTTCTTCACCTGCCCATTCCCCTACCTTGTGATCCAGACTTCCCAATTCTGCAATATGCTGATGACACCCTCATTTTCGATGTCATTCAGTTAAATCATTGAAGAGCCTTCTTGCTGATTCTTCAGGCCTCAGGGTCGACTTTGACAAATCTTTGATATTGCCCATTAATGTTTCTGATGATAAACTAGAACTGCTAGCTAATGCCCTCGATTGCTTAAAAGGTTCTCTTCCTTTTACCTATTTGGACCTTCTTTTGAGTACTACCAAACCTTCGGTAGCTGATTTCTGGTCCCTGGTGTCTAAATGTGAAAGAAGGTTGACTACCTTCTCATCTTTTTTTATCTGAGACTAGAAGATTGGAAATGACAAATGCTATCTACCCTTTCAACCTTTGCCATGTGTACCTTTTTACTCCCTAAGATAGTGATTAAGCAAATAGATAAATTTCGCAAACATTGCTTATGGAGAGGCTCAGATGTAAACAATATGAAGCCACCAAAAGCTGGTTGGCCTCTGGTTTGTTTACCCAAAGCTGAAGGTGGGGTTGGGGGCCATCAATCTTAGTATTCATAACGAATGGCTTTTGCTTAAGAATTTCCATAAATTTTACAAGGAAAATGTTCCCTGGGTGCAGCTTGTGTGGAGTAAGCACTATTCTGGCAATAGACTACCCATCTTAGAAGGCCGTCAATTGGGTCTTTTGGTGGTGTGATATTTTAAAACTCCTGAGTCAATTCAAAGGCATTGTTGTGATTTCAATCAGGGATGGGCCACATGTCTTCTGTGGCATGATCATTGGAGAGGTAACATTTTGAGTCAGCATTTCCCAGAACTATACTCCTTTTCCCAGGCTGCGATCTCTATACCTTTACCCTAGAATCTGTTTCATTTGCCTCTAACTACCGAAGCTTACAATCAGTTTTTAGAGCTTATTTCTATCTTTTAGAATTTTTAGTTACAGTCATCAAATGACAGTTGGACTTATATCCGGGCTTCGTTTTCTCTTCTAACCAATCTTAAGCATCTTATTGGCCATCGTTAGGTTCAAATATGTCATTAATGGCTTTGGTGTTACGCTTGTCAAAACAAGCGAAATTTTTCTTTGGCGCTTCTCAAAGATAGACTTAGTACTAGGTAGCTCACGAGAAGAAAGAATATTTTCTTAGATGACTATAATTGTGTCTTTTGCTCCAACGCTATTGAGGAAGATTTGCTTCATCTCTTCTTTCATTGTCCTTTTGCATTGGACTGCTGCTTCAGTCTTCATCTCCTGGTACCCAACACTTCAGAGCTTGAAATCATCTTGGAAGCATTCAAAGTGCAGCTTCATCTGCCTTCTTCATGAAAGTAATTATTATAAAACAAGCGAATGATTTCCCAACATGCAATAGTTTTCTTTTCTAGAAAAAAAAATCCCAACTCATTCCCATTTCGGATGCGCCCATCCCACGCTCTCCATCATGCTCCCACACCTCTCTCCCGCTCCCTTTTCAATTGGTTGTGACATCACTTGATGCAAACTAGAAAAAAGCAAAATATTTATTTGAGATTGCTATAACTTTCTGAGCGGTGTATCTATTTTATTGAGTCTGCACAGGTGTGTTTTACGTGACGAGCCGAACAAAACTAGACCCGACTTGCATATGTTTCAAAGAATTTTATTCTAGTAGAAATTTATGTGTATTAACTTATAACATATAACTTATAACTTATGCCAAAACTTGGAAACACAAAGGTTATGAAACACAACTTATGTATAGAATGTCATATTGTCCAAGTTGTGAAAATAAGTGGTGCATAAAAGTTATGTGTATAAACTTGGAAACACAAAAGTTATGAAACACAAGTTAGGTACAAAAGTTATTAAACACAAAACAACATATTAACTTATAACTTATGCCAAAACGTGAAGACATAAAAGTTATTAAACACAATAGAAACGAATTAACTTATAACTTATATCAAAACTTGGATACACAAAAATTATGAAACATAACTTATGTATAAAATGTTATATTGTCAAAGTTACGAATATAAGTTGTGCATAAAAGTTATGTGTATAACTTAGTAACTTTTTCCAAAAAAGGAAAGTTGTGAATTTTTTTGCCAAAAATAGAAAATTGCGAAACTGCTCAATCGTTCATTGGATTTGAAACCAGTGAACGCCCATGGAAATGCAATTAGGGATCACCCCTCCTGTTTCGTCAAAAAGAAAAACAATTGTATCTCCTGATCCTAATACAGTAACGCAACAGCCTATCTTGCTCATGGCTTATATCTACCTGTATGCTGGATGCTCGTCCTCGTCGTCACAGGCTGTGAGAGCCTTGGCAACGTCGTCCATTGTCGGACGGTTGCTCCTGTCCTCCATACACGATAAGGAAATCCGGACCATTTCCAACGCCTGCCGAGGATTAAACTGCCCCTGCAACCTACCGTCCACCAAGGGCACGACGTTGCCGGTAGCCACCACCTGCCTCAAGGCCTGAGCGATCTGCGGCGTCTGCAGGCGCTCCCCGCCCGCCGTGGTCTGGTCACACACCCTGCACCCCATAACCATCTCCAGCAGCACAATACCGTAGCTGTACACGTCTACCTTGACGTTGATGGGAACGTTGAGCGCCCACTCCGGCGCCATGTACCCCGTCGTCCCTCTCATGTGAGAGAGCGGCATGCTGTCGCCGGCGCCGTCGTCCCTCTTGGAGAGCTTGGCCAGCCCAAAGTCGGCGATCTTGGCGTCGAACTCGCGCGTCAGCAGGATGTTCTCCGGCTTGACGTCGCAGTGGATGACCCACTCGAGGCACTCGTGGTGAAGGTAGGCTAGGCCCCTGGCCGTGCCCAGCGCGATCCTGTACCGCTCGCGCCACGGTAGCGTCGTCCTGTCCGTGTCGAACAGGTGCCTGTCCAGCGACTCGTTCTCCACGTACTCGTACACCAGCAGCTTATGCTTGCCCTGGGAGCAGAACCCCCAGATCCGGACCAGGTTCATGTGGTTGATCCGCCCGATCACCGTCATCTCCGCCCAGAACTCCTCGTCGCCCCACGGCACGTTCGTCAGCTTCTTCACGGCCACCACCTTCCCTTTGTCGAGCACGCCGCGGTACACGACGCCCGAGCCGCCCCGGCCCAGCTCCTCCTTGAAGTTCCCCGTCGCGTCCTTGAGCTCTCGGTACGTGAACCTCCTGAACTGGCCCGTGACCATCCTGTAGCCTGCCTCCAGTGAGCTGGGTATGCTCTGCTTGCTGGAGAGGAACCACCAGCTTGTTGCAATGAAGATAATATCAAGAACTCCCAGTACTCCGGCGAACGCAAACAGGTACGGCCACTTCGTCCCGTTTCCTGTTCTACTGAATGTTCCTTCCGATCTTTGGACGATCACGGAAATGTTAGGATCGCAGGCAAGGCCTGCGGCGCTCCGTGCAGTGACGAGAGGCGCCGATGCGTCGAAATCGATAGGAACTTTCAGGTAGATGGTCCCAGAGAAGGCTGAAGACGTGAAGCCGTTGAACAGAATGCTTTTCGGGTAGCAGACGCCTTGGCCTTCAAGCTTGTAGGAGAAGCCGACGCACAAGCACATCTTCAAGCAGAGTTTCTTGCAGTACTCGAACGTGACGGATTGGTTGAACTGCAGATCGTAGCCGTAGAAGTCGCTGTGCGGCAACCTGAGGAATTTAAACTGCTGCTCCGGCGATGGCGACGGCGGCTGGTTACAGTTGGTGACCGGCCTGAACATCGGCTTGCAGCCTTTCCGCCAGTCCTGCCGATCCACCATCTCGTACGCCGGCGGGCACGAGCACCTGAGGCTCGGCTGGTACTCGCAGAGCGCGTTCTGGCCGCACAGCCCGTGCGTGGAGCACGGCTGCCCCAGCGCCGCCCATGTCACCGCCCAGCCCCTGTGGACGCGTTCATGCTGTAGATTCTCACGTTGCCATCCTGATCCATGGTCAGCCGCCTCTTGACGCCGGGGGGCCGAAGTCGGAGGCATGGACTCCCAGGTTGTCGCTCGACAGGAACACGCCGTTGTCGTCGAGGACGCCGATCCTGGAGCTGTTGTATGTTGTCCGGCCGTTCTGGAACGGATCGTTGATAGGATTATTTGGCCAGTAGATGCTCGATATGTTGGGGCTGTCGTACAGGAGCCGCAGCACGTTGTCATTGTCGTAGTAGAGGCTGAAGTAGCCCGCGACCAGCTTCTTGTCCTTGGTGAGCGGCTGCGACGGGACCAGTGTGTCCGTCGGCCAATCGAAGCTCTGCCACAAGGTGCGGCCGCCGGTAGACGGGTCCGAGTCCGAGATGAGGAGGTTGCCGGTGTCGAGGAGGGATATGGTCAGGAGCCCCGCCGCCACTCGTCTTGCTCTCCCACACCGTGCTGCCGTTGGCGTCGTCGAGGGCTAGGTCCCCGTCACGGCGGAACGAGATCCTAGAGCCCCGGCCGTTCACGGGGCGCCGGGGTTCGCCGTCCAGATGGCAGTCTTCTCCGCTGCGTCGGTGTACCAGACGGAGAAGGAGAAGGCGTTCTCGCCGGCGTCCTGGAAGCCGCAGGAGAAAGTGCCGTCGGGGGAAGTCAGGAACGGCCGCCAGTGGTCTTCCACCGACAGAGAGGAGCCGGTGCCCAGTGTGTGCTGTGCTGGCTCTGGCGCTGACGACGACGATGACGATGACGATGACGGACACGGCACGACGGCGAGCAGCAAGACGAAGGCCAGACAGGTTCCATATCCTGGCATCGATCGTGTTCCACGATGTTGCGCTTTTGCACTAATGGAGACTGCAAACCGGAGCGTGCTAGCTAGGTGAATGGCCACTGATCTGCCCATGCAGTCATGCACACACAACCACAAGGTTTGCCTGCGTTCATGGGGGGTCAGTACTAGCTAGCTATCTCCAGATATAGCTCTGGCTCCACCAGTATGAACGCACGCGTCCGGCCGAGATCCCGGTCGATCTCGAAGGTTACTTTGGTCTTATTACATCGTGTACCGTATGCCGTATAGTTAACGTAGATCGACTACATCGATTCCAGGGAATTGAAACTTTGATTAGTTGACGATGAAAGTGACTGGGATATACAGAAGCAAATGACACACTATATAGGTAATAAATGAACAAAAATGTGGTCCACAGATCGCCGTTGATAGATCAACGGAATTAGGCATGCTTGCCAAGTTGTTCGGTGTCCTTAGTCCTTATACATACATGCGGGGCATGCTTGTGGTGGTGGGAGAGAGAACACCGGGTGTGGTCGAGAGAGAACGACGAGAGAGAGTGTTGGGTTGGGAATTAATATACTTGGCTCCGGTTTTCACTTGGCACGTGGCTAGAACCGGCACTCTAAATTAGCCTAGTATTCACCCCTGGTTCAAGCCATGAGCCGGTGATGAAAATCATTTTCAGTGCCAATTCTGTTACAAATCGGCTGTGATACGTTTTCACCGTTAGTATTAATAGAACTGTAATGATTTTTGGTAGTACTGTTTATAGCTCCAATACTATCAAATGGTTAACATCTTCATGAATTTTAGGCCCTGATTGCTTAAACCCCAACCCCCCCCCAGCTAACAATTGGTTGTGTTAGCTGCATGAAAAACTAGCTAACAGCTAATTGTTAGGTGATAGGTAAGACACAAGCTAGAGTATTAGCTGAGGATTCAAACAAAGTCTTAGCTAATTTTTTGCAGCTAACTATTAGCTTTGTTGGATCAAATAGGACCTTGATCCATTGTTTACCGCTGACAGGCTAAGCAGAGCCATCCACACCAATGGTGAAGATGTGGTTAGGGTAGAGATTGTAAATCTCAATGAGTTTAGAAGGCCCACAAGTTGTAAAGGTGGCTTTGTGGCCAAGGTAGAGCGTCACGGATCATCATTGGTTTTAACATTCATGACTCCAAACCTCTCAAAACACATATGTCAATCACTCATTAAAATAAAGCAGATCAAGACACATTTCAACTTGGTCTCCATACTATTGGATGCCACTTCTTTCACGGTATCTATGTTGTCCATATTCTGCCAATTGGCCTAATGCTTGCAGACTCCATGAAATATTGTCTCGTGTCCTTAATTTTATTTCCCCTAACTTCGCTATATTCTAAAGATGGTAACGCCGCCGTCGACCTTGAACAAAAACATTTCCACACGATGTATATACCAAGCTTGACCGCGACTCAGCATGCGAATCGACTCGCAAAGTTTTTTGAAGGAAACAAACAAGCTTGACGCCTTCGATCGATTAGGATAAGCTAGGATTAGCGATTAGACTCGGTATGCAATCACATACTCCTATATATGAGTACTACTCCTGTATAATAAGCTAACCTTGAATACGTACACCAAATAACATTTGTTTTTCAACCGGCGGTTAGACCATACTACTGCAAGTGTGGTGGAGTGTACGTTAGGATTCATATATATTTGAAGTTGTTCGGGCTCGTAAGTCGACTGAAGCTGATTTGTTGTGATTGAAGCCAGGCTGATAAGTTCAAGCGAAAAGGGCTTGCGTCCAAAAATAATTGTCACGCGCAACAGGCAGGCGAAAAAATCTGTCTGATTTTTGCAAATAAAAAAAGTGTAATTTGCAAGACGAATACGTGTATGGGATCAGGGGTATTCGGACGATAGAAGATCATCAATTGATTGGCCATCCTAGGCATCCAGCTGATCAATACGTACATACTAGGTAGTTCCATCTTTTATGCTTTGTGCGCATGCATCGTATCACTGTTACATGTAAATAATCGGGCATTTGCCACGTGCCCACGTGTCTCCAAGGTAGTCGTCAGAAAGTCGCATGAGAACGTAATTTCTAGAAGTACACTTGATTGGAACAAGTGGACGATGGCATGCATGACAACAAAGACTGAGAGGCTGCCGTAGCTAGGTTGACGTCAACTATTTCTACCGTAAGAAGTTACCCCCTCTGTCCGGATTAAGTGATGATAAATTTAACTAGATTTATAGAAAATATTAGTAATATTTATTTCTCTAAATAAATTTATTATGAAAAATAAATCCAACGATCTATCTAACGATATTAATTATGTACCATAAACATTAATATTTTTTATAAATTTAGTCAAAGTTGTTTCTTGAGAAGCGAAAACAATAATTATTTAGAGGCGAAGGGAGTAGTACTTAGTAGTACTCTATTCATCTTTAACTAAGTCTAATTTCTAGAGTTATCATGTTGTTTTTTAAAAGTTTGGCCAGACTTTTATATAAGAGGACACCAATATTATAACACCAAATTAGTATTTGAGGTTTGCCAGTTCAGTGCAGTCTCTTGGATGTTCTCATAGGTGTAGTGTGTACATATGTACTAGTGCAAAACGCACGCCCCTGCGCTCGAGTGCAGGAAGTCTGATGGTTCATACAGTGACAAGGTCGATGATTAGGCTACACTGATGTTTACACAGTTGGAAGTTGTGCATATTATACATACGTGCATGGTCCAGAGAAGTGCGGGGAGAGAGTAGTAGTGTTTCTAGGGTTGAACAGGTAGAACTGCGTAGGCATAGGATATCACTATGGAAACATACATGGGTAGATGTATGATATAGGTAATATTGAGATACTACGCTGCGTAGAGACGATTAGGCTCATTGGGTGATTACAGCTGGTGTTGAGGTCAGTGCTTCATCATTAAGTAATGCGGTGAGGAAGCGATTGCCACACTGCGTTGATGTTCCTGTGTAGAGATCAGAGGATGTTAGGGTCTGGTGGTTAGACAAATGTAGACTAAGGCATTTTGAAAAAGGGTGCTTTATCTCTGCAGTAGTATGTAATTAGGGTGTCCATGGTTCCCAATCCGATGAGTCTGTTTATGCAGAGTATTATGTTAGAGATGCGGCGAAAGGAATGAGAAATGGTATGGTCCGCTGTGAAATGTGTGGTACCTGAGTTTCCATAGTATCTGTAACATAAGGATGAAGTGGTGAGTCAGATAGATTTATTTCTGTAGTTCTATGTGGTAATGGATGGTCGGTCAACAGAGCATGGAATGTATTGTGGAAACAGCATACCTTGTAGCCGGGAGGTTGCCTCATCATCTATCTCTGGTTTGCCATCCTTTTTTTTGAAAATCAAATTTGAAGTCTATCGTTGGAAACCAGAGAATAAAAGGGCAGAGTCAACATTTTATTGAGATTGGCATTACATGGAAGGATAATAATGGAGAAAGCTGGATTCATAGTGCATTTGGTAAATTGAGTAATAGCCACCACTCTATATAATGAAAAAGAATGTTTGTTGCTCTAAAGTTTCGCTTTTCATTTTTTTGTTTTTTTAATTTAAAATAACTGTAGGTGTGCAACTACATGGACCAAAGTTGGCTATAACAACAAATTTTTAATCGATATATACTGAGGAACCTATAACTGCAATTGGCAACTATGCACCTTTTCTAATACGAAACAGATAAAATATGTACCTCCTTCAGGCTTCAGCTGCGCGATGCACTTTATGCTCCTTGATCATCACGTGCAGCCCGCCAATCAATATCGAAGACAGGCGCTGCCAGCCAACACCATGACTGAACCACCACAACTGACACCACAAGGCATGCACACATGAGATCAAGGGCAGTGAACATTTAGAAGTTGTCAGGTTGCCTAAACCTCATGACATAGCAGGTGATAAGATTATAAAAATGTAAACTAAGCAATTGTTTCAGGTATACAATAATTTCCAGGTAATATGTAAATTAAGCATTTGTGCAAGAAGTAGACAAGATTTGTATAGCTTGTTGAATACCGCTCTGTGCCTATATTTTTGTAATGAGCTTCCATGTATAGAAACTGAGTGGCCGTTTAAAAGCTCTGAATCTGTACAAACCTTTAATAAACAATAGTAGGTGCTGAAATCATAAAAAACGAGCCATATGTTCTGTCAGCCCGTAGAACTATAGTGATTTGCGGGTGATTTTTAGACAGCATCTGAGTGGAAAGCATGGAAAATGGAGGAGTATTTCCTCTGGGTGAAATAGTC